TATTACGTATCCGGAATCCGGATCTCCATTAATGGAGTCTCCATCTCACCAAACTACCTCCACCAGTCCAATATAGATGAAGAAGGCTCCCGCCTTTCTTTTCCATCATTTTCATCGTTGTTTTCCTCCAACTCGACCAGTTTCTTATGTCACTGATCTCGAAGGTCAACGGTCATGGCGGGTTGGCGGCCAATCGGTTATCCTGTTCATTAAAGAGCTAAGCTGACTCTTCTACTTCCGACATCATCACCGTTATCCTCCATTCAGCTTCAGCCTTCGTCGCCAGCACCTTGTACTTCAACCTCCTATCCCTACATTGTTTGCACCAACGTGATATGGACGAAGATATGAAAGGGAAGGGTACAGAAGATTTGTACATGTCATATTTAGAAAAGAAAAGTGGGTTGAATTAATATTTCCCAAAAAATGAAAAAATGAAAAATTGCCACATAGACATTCACGTAAACTTTTGACCGGAAAACTGGTAGGTAACCTACTAAACGGCTTAATTGAGCATTTTTTATAACTTCATGGGGTTAATTAATTTTGAAGTGCGTGGACTTAATTGACTTTTTCAATATAGTACGATGGCTTATTTGATAGTTTGTCAAGATAAAATTAGTCCCATCAAATAGGACACACTTTGTTTTAGGTCACTACAAAATGTTTTTTGGTTTTTCATCCCTATAATATGCCCTATTTTGTTTTTAGTCCTTCTCTAATTCCAAAACCATTCTACTTAGGAAAAAAATTATTGTCAGCTGCATAAATATACTAGAAGTATTTAAATTTATCCTTTTATAATTTTTTTGAGGCTAATATGAGAGCTAAAATAAAGTAAAACTAAGTATTCGCATTTTTAAAATATATATTAAAAGCCTTTGAAAAAATAAAATTAAATACTTTTTTAATAACATGACAAAAATTTTGAGGAAATCTATGAGTCGGGTATTCGGGATTAGTTTCAGATCAAACGAATGTTGATATCATCAGTGAAAAACTAAAAAGAAAACTAACACAAAATGCAGGGACTAAAAACATAAAAATATTTTTACAGAGATGTAAAATAAAATGTACTATATTTGGAGGGACTAAAACCATATTTAAACCAAGATAAAAATAATATTGAAATAGACAAATGAGGAATGCAAATTTATGTTGTAATGGAAATCTATATATGCTCGCTTCAAGAGTCCAAAAAGAATTGAACTCAGGCATGACTCGGTAAAATTACCTAATCCTTCTGTTACTTCATGTGATCTTGGAAACCATTTGGTCCAAAAAAAAGGTGGAATCTCCCACCCCATGAGCCCCCCATACCCCGACCCGACAGGATTCTTGGGAGGATGTTAATCACGGTGACTCAGTCGGCCCAATGATGGTAGGCCTTTTTCCCGTGCACACCAGAGGCCCAGCCTTATTTCAGGTTCTGTGACCTCCACACGACCGCTGCGGGTTTCGAACCTTGGTCACTTGGTCCAAATTTCCCACCACTGAACCTGATCTTGGAAACCATGAATTTATCATAGTAGCGAGTTTTAAAAAAAATCGTACATGAAATTGAATCACTATCAAGACGCGAGATTTCATCTTAAATAGTTAGATGAAAAGATATTTTTATGAGCTTTGTAGTAACTGTTAGTTTTTAGTGATTGAAAAGATCTTAAAAAGAAAAGGCAGTAGTTGTTTGGTAAACAGCCGACTGTTTGATTTAGCTCTGTTTGGTATACAAGCTGTTAGGACCAATTAATACTAGAAGCTACGGACTTATTATAAAAGATCATTTATTTTTATAAAAACTCTTAAAAATTGGCGTACCAAACAAACAACTGGAAGCTTTTAAAGATTTTTTAAATAATACAAAAGCTAGAAGACAGAAACTTATGTCCGCCAAACATAGCTGATATATAGAGGGAGCATTTCATAATCTTAAATATTACTTGTAACTTGTATCGTATATCAAATTGGTGTAGGAAAATACTTCAACAAATTAGTAAAAACAAATAGAAAATATTTAAACTTTAATTGGTGTAAAATAATACGTAGTACTTCGTACTACTACGTGCCTGGTAATTAATAATCATCTTAATGATCACGATTGATAGTGATCATTAAGGTGCTCATGAAAAGGCTCCTCATGAAAAGTTGCGGAGATGAAGAGGCTCCTCATGAAAAGTTGAAAAATTGTGCTGATTATGACAACTTTTACACATTTAGGTGTTGTTCTTATTCCTTATTGCTTATTTTTATTTTATTCAAATCAGATCAGATCAGAAAAATTCAGATCAGATCAGAAAAATTCAGATCAGATCAGAAACATTCAGATCCGATCAGATCAGGTCAGAAACATTCAGATAAGATCAGAAGCATTCAGATCAGATCAGAAGCATTCAGATCAGAAGTATTCAGATCACAAACATTCATAGCAAATTGGAAACATTCTATTATTATCGATTATTATTATTATTATTATTATTATTATTATTACTACTACTATTATTACTATTATTTTTATTATTATCACTATTATTATTATTATTATTATTATTACTACTGCTACTACTACTACTATTTTTATTATTATTACTACTACTATTATTACTATTATTATTATTATTTTATTATTATTAAATAATTATAATTATAATAATAATTGTTATTATTATTATTAATTTATTATAATTATTATTGATATTATTATTTATTTTTATTATTATTATTATTATTTATATTATTATTAGAATTATTATTAGTATTAATATTATTATATACCGGTTTAGAAAGTTAAGATCAGATCAGAAGGATTCAGATCAGATCAGAAGCATTCAGATCAAATCATAAAATTTCAGATCAGATCAGATCGGAAAGATTCAGATCTGATCAGATCAGATCAGATCAGAAAAATTCAGATCAGAAACATTCAGATCAGACGAAGAGAACAGCTTCTTACTCGAATGACTTACACTCTTTTTAATCTACAAGGAAAATTAAGAATATGTTACTCCTATCTCTATGTGCCCATATTCCTTTTTGTTAAGGATTTCTTTCAAAAATATTATTAAAATAAAACTGATTTACTAACTAATAGTTATTACAATGTGGTGTTATGGTAACTTAAATTTATAAAATGAACATAAGTTACTGTGATTTCATTACTACTCTAGTTACTAGTTACATTTATGTAAACAATGTTTATTTTAACCATAAATATGTAATTATTTCTTTTGTTAATATCATTATATATTATTTAGTGCTTATTTTAAAACCTTGCTAATCTTAACCTACATTTAAACTAAGATATTACTAACATTTACAAACTAGAACTAAGTATGTTTTTATTTGGCCTAGGCATCTGGTCTGGTGTGTTTTAATCACATCTAATGTGTTTTGGTACGTGTTCGGTTTATGTGTATTTTAAAATTGTCAAAGTCAAGTATGGTTTGTTTAAGTTTGATCGGATTTGATTTTATGTATTACATACTCATCTGATTTGGGATCGAAATCAGTGTAGGTGAACATCCTAATCAATCAGCAACTTCTGCATAGGATAGTAACTAGGGGAGGTAGACAGCAGCCCGGCACTTCTAGATAACCAGACCATATTACATTTCTGACTATATTTGCCGGTAAAACTGTTGTAACATTTTTTTACTTCCAAATTTGTCATCTAATATCTTTCACTAAATATGTAACTTTTATTTTAGCATAATGTTTGATAATCAATAAAAGTAAAGTTAGAGTTAATGGTGGACTAGGACGGGAGTACGGGACAGCCCGACCCGAGACCCAAACCGGACCGATACTCTGTTGACCCAGCCCGACCCGGTAAATCAAGACTAGGCCCGGTGACCCAACCCGGGAGTAAAAATGTAAAATAGGCGTGCTACGAGCTTTGTTTTTTGTGACCATCCTGGTCAGGCTGGGTCCCGACCGGGCCGAATCAATTTTTTTTTTACTTTTTCCCATTGTGTTGGCTGCTAGATGGGTGGGGTTGTGCGGTTTGGGAGGTTTGGGGTGGAATTAATTCGAAAAGACAAAAAAAATCATGAGCGACCCGATCCCGAATCTAACCCAGACCAGTAACGGGTCTAAATATTTTGGACCTGGAGCCCGCCCCAGCCCGGCCCCACCCGATCCTGATCCACCCTTAGTTAATGTTACTTTTCTAATTGAGTTAACTGAAATTACTGAAATTGATTATTTTAAATATTTTTCATATAATCTTTACATTGTTTATTAATTAAGTACATTTTAAATATAATATTTTTATAATTTCCCATATTCAATCAATTTAGCTCATTCAGATCAAATTTCACACATTTCAACAGAATTAACCAATTCAATTAGAGTTTCACAACTTTCAATAAATTCATTCAATTTAGGATGTTTTTACTTGAATTGTTTAAAGCTCCAAACCAAACCAAAATTAAAAAGATCAAACCAAATCAGACCAAACTTAAACAGATCAAATCAGAATTTCATAATTATAAACCAGACCAAAACCAGGCTAGTTCAGACCTGACCAAATTTAAACAAACCAAAGCAAACCAACAAATATCAATCCAAGTAAAAACATTTTTCAGTGTTTCCAAATGATATCATAATACCGGAAAGGGTTATTGTGAACCGAATAACACTGGTTTGTGCATTTTTAACAAAAAACTGCACCATCAAGGCCACTCCAGGACCTCACCTTTAACCGTTAACCAACTATTTTTTCCTACTTCACCTCAAAATAAGCCACTAGCCCCTCCGTTACGGTTGCAGTTTAAAGATCTTCAAAATCCAGTCCTAAATCGGACTCTTATACTAAATCTACTTGTACTCTTGTAGCAAGAACCATGTCACCTTTAATATATTCACTTCCAATATCTAATAATTACCATACCAGAGCAAAGCAATCAGATCGCGACTCCAACAGGTCAAGAACCAGACTGCTGCACGCCTGCACCTTATGTATAACAGGTCATACATAACTCATTGGCAACACATGCAAAATGGGAACAAAACATCAAGTTTGGAGCAACATTGATTACTTGATTTTACAAAATAATATCTTGAAATTCATAAAAGAAACGAAATCCCACTTGGATGATATAATGGGGGAGTAAAGGAGAGAATTACGAGTATGAAGATACAATACAAATTTTCCAATCAGATCGCAACTCCAACAAAACAATTTACTTCACGAGACGACCAAACTATTTTCTGAATCCCAACAAAATAATAGTAACGTAACTTGCAAAAACAACACAAACATACGAGTAATAAATAATATATTACGCAAGATTTGCAAACGGATCAAAATTGTCCCTTCAAGCCAACAAAAGCACCACCACACCAACTAAGCCAGTTCTCCATCCCATTCCATCCAGACCAATCAGGAGAACCAGCCTTCAGACATTTATTACTGCTGCTTGCACTCAGGAGGTCGCTCACCCTGCTGGCCATCAACTGCAGGTGCCCGTCCAGTTTTCTGTTGATTTGGTACACACATTAAATAATCACTTCAACACCTTCGTGTAGATCAAACTGAGCAGATTTGAAAATTCATAAAAAAAAATTGATGACATACCTTGTGTGTAGCAGGAGACTGCACAAGGTTTCAAAAAAGTAAAGAGGTTAGCAACATATACAAAAAGGCCATGATGTGAAACATCATTAGCAGGAGAGTAAACCTCTATCTGCATACCGAACTACTTTTAATTGTCATGACTACATAAGAGGTTTAATGTTCAAGCAATGCTCATTTTGTAAACAAAATATTTTATATGGAATAATAGTTGGTATACGTAATTCTTATATAGAGTTCTTTTTACCTTCTTCTTGGGCTTAACATCTTCATCCTCCTCTTCATCATCATCTTCCTCATCTTCCTCATCTTCTTCATCCTCCTCATCATCTTCATCTTCCTCATCTTCATCATCTATTTCAAACTCTTCCTGAACAGCCTCGCCTGTGAACCAAGACACAGCATGTGGAATGATTTTGTCTCGAATTGTTGACCTGCATAATAGTTGGCAACAAGGTCCTCAAAAACATAACTGAAAATAGGTAGACTACATTTACTCAATTCAGTCCATTTTATAGAGATTATCACAATGGAAAAAGAGTATTCATTTACCCAATTTCATAATCCTGCTCCATCAAATTTTGGAGCTCCTCAGCCTGTAAACAAAATTGGAAGCTTTAATAAAAAAGGAGTAACAGACAGATTTATTTAGCAAGTAAGCAAATCTGTAATATAAATAAATGCAAATTTATGCAGTTCATATACAGCATCTTCGTCAATGTCATCTTCATCCTCTGGAACTTGAGGCGGACTAAAGAAGTTGAAGAAACTGTCACACTTTTCAGTTTTAGTGATAGGTTTAGCATTCTTAGATCCCTTCTTGGGCTTCTTCTTCAGTATCTTCTGTGTCAAGGACTTCCCAGGATACCATTCTATCTCAGTCCTGCAAATAACACATAATTGCATGTTAGTACAAAAACCTTTTATGATAGCATTTGAGAATCCGCAAATTCTAGATAAAATTGCAGGAAAGAAAACAGAATGTTGTTGGACAAAGTTTTACCCAATTGCTTTCTCTAGAATTGGTTCATCTTCATCAATCATGTGATATACTTTGGTCAAAACAGAATTCTTGAAAAATGGGTTGGTGTCAAAGCAAAATTCGAGCTTAAATCCCTTTGGTTCGTCAACTCTGGACCACTTGATGTCTCTTAAAAATTTAAGAGCACCTTCATCACGTTCTGTGATCTGTCATGAATAAGATTGTAGATGAAACATTCAACACAAGTTCATCCATCAAATTACTAAAATATACACAAATAAAATAAAGCATGTCTGGGTATGTAAAAACAAAATATAACCTCTTCACACAACACTTCATTATTCTTCATAGCAGTAAGCCAGAAATCAGGGACTCCCTTTCCTATATGAAAAGGAAAAAAGTTTAACAACATAAATCAGAAGAAATGAACAAAGTGCGTCAATTTCACCATTACAACTCACCTCCATCTGCAGGAGTTTCAGATTCATTCCCTTCAACATCAACAACTCCATTTACAATTTCATATCTCTGTTTACAGCCAATAGAACTTATAAGCATATGAAACATTAGATGCAGGTTGTACAATGATCTTTATTCCATACTAACCTTTGAATATAGCGGTTGATAAAGTTTCTGGTACTTAGCTTCCAGTGCTGCCCTCTCTTCATTGAATTTTGCTTCCAGCTCATCATGTTGAGCCTGCTCAAACAAACAAATGAAGAAATATTAATAATAATAGTCAAGTTCGGATGTAAGTGTCCATGACCTTTAAATGTAATTCATATAACATTAAGACCACTCAAGTCTGTTATATGTAGCTAAAATCCAAGCAGGTGCATAAACATAAGTCCAACAAGTGAAATAGTAAATTTCAATAACTCAAATTCAAACAGATATAGCATCCAATCAGCAATACATTATTATTTTCGGAATCAAACATCTGAAGTATGAATTGCAGTGCTATTCAGGTATCATACCATGGCAATAGATGTCACACTTAAATGATACTTGCGGAAAAGGATCTCTATTTTCTTGTTTTCTATAACAAATTTGTGTATTGATAGTTGAATCACCTCTTTTTATAATGTGTAGAACTTCAATAATTCAATGTAGTCGTTTTATATATAAATTCTATTTACTAAAACTAGAATCAATATACAAATAAAAAAATTGTTGGTACAGAGGAAGTATATTCCAATAAATTAACAGCACTTTGTGCATGTTAATCACTCGATGAACTAGGTAAAAGCTTTTCAAGCAATAATACAGTTTTCAACTTAGGGCCAAATGGTAGAAAAAATAACAGTTTGCTCAAATAGAAACCATATGCGTGATCATCCACAGACAGAGAAACAAGTGAAATGGCTACTATTTAAACTAAAACGTGTATCAGTTCAACGTACCTGAACCTCTCTGAGAACATCAACACGCTTTCTTACAATTGGAGACAAGTTCTCAAGCACAACCGAGTGCTTCCCTGTAAGATCCTGAAGCTTATTCTGCAATATTCACAAAGGAACTTAATCCACATTCTACACAAAAATGTGTACAAAGGATCACGACCAGATTAAGAAAATCGATGCAACAAACAGGGAGAATCAGTTATCTTACTTTGAGAGCACTGACAAGATCAGCTCTATCATCTGAATTCAAAGCTAAACAAAACGTAAATGAGTCACAAAAACTAATACAGTAATAAATAACTGCACCTTAGTGTAGTGAGGTAAATCCAATAAACTATATCAGAGTTCCTACAAGCACGCTAACAATCAAAGCTAAGAAAAAGTTAAGCAAGTAACAGATGGATATCGCGATTGCATATCCAAATATAAACGTATGTATTGGGTACTTGAACTTACCAGCATGGAGATCGGACATATCGAGGGCGTCTTTGGCGTCGCTCATGGCTGGAGAAGGAATGGGGAGAGGAACCAAAAAACCCTAGCGATACAAGTGAAACGAAGAGAGATAAAGCGCCTAGATTTAGGCCCTCTTTCTGCGCTCGGATTGCCGTCTCCCAGCGATTCCCAAAACCTAGCACCTTGCGGCTATTTATTTATTTAAATTGCAGGTCCGTTTGGGTAAGTTAAGATATAGAAAACTGTTTTGCTTACGGATAATTCTGTAGAAGTGTCTATGAAAAGGTCCGTTTGGGTAAGTTAAGATACAGATGTGTGTACAAAAGGTGTACACAAAAATGTGTACATCTATCAGAGGCTCTTAGATACTCCCTTCGTTCCTTATAATTTCTCGACTTTCCTTTTTTGGTTGTTCCAAAAACTTTGCCACTTTCCCTTTTAATCAATTAATTTGTGGCTCCTGTTATTTCTCTCTCCTCTGCACAAATATCTACCACACACTTTTTACTTTATTATTCTAGATGTCGGTCAAACTTGGTAAACCTTTAAGGGACGGAGGGAGTATTACTTTTAGGGAAAATGGAAACTAATAATCCAACCTTTTAGCGGTCTTCTTACAATAGTCCCACATTTTTATTATTCATGAATAATCCAACATTTACACCCCATCTTCATTCATTGGTCCCTGATCGAATTATGACCGATTATTTCAAGTTATTTGCTTATCTTTGTAAAACATTATACCATAATTCTCACCTTATGATCGCATAATGTTTTGCAAAGATAAGAAAATAACTTGGAATAACAGGTCATAAATCGGTCAGGGACTAGTAAATAAAGATGGGGTGCAAAGGTGGGATTATTCATGAATAATGAAAAGGTGAGACTATTGTAAGAAAACCGCTAAAAGGTTGGATTATTAGTTTCCATTTTCCCTTACTTTTATCCTTTTTGGAAGTAGAAAAACACATTCTTTTATAGAGTTTTCTAATTATTACTACATATATACTTTCTCGGTCCCAGAAAAAGTTCCCGCATTGACTTGGATCGTAGTTTAAGAAAGTGGGAATACAGTGAAAATGTACGGTTGTGGTTGTGTAAGGAAAAAGGTAAATGAATGAATGAATGTAAGTCATACAAAACTTTCCAAAAGAGGAAATGAGAACTTTTTTTTGGGACGACCCAAAAAGGAAACCGGGAACTATTTTGCGGTACGGAGGGAATAATCTTGTTGAATTAGCGATTTAGATTTGTTGGTTGCAATCTTGACCAGCTGATTCGGTTAGTTGATTCTCTTTAAGTGTTTGGTAAAATTAGATGTTTATGATTAACTGTTAGACTGTCGAAATTACACGCAAGATTTATGATGGAGTATATGGCCCAGGGACCCCCGGTCCATAGACTCCTACTTCTTCTGCTCAGGCCCATCGAGCCCAATGAGCACACAAAGCCCATACGTGGCAGCCCAAGTATCAAGGAGCCCGTAAATACACGTGTGAGTGCCATCGGCTTCCTTGGCCGAAGGCTCCAAACTCCACGAAACAACTGATCTTCTACATACAGAGCTACTGGGAGAAGGCGGCGAAATCAGGAGCCCTCGGCCACAGGGGCGCCCTCGGCTACACCATAGCCTTCGGCTAAACAGAGCCCTCAGCATACTGCAGACTCGACAAAGATTACTTTTAGGGACAAGCAACCACCGCATTTAATGTGGTGTCACGTCCAACCACCGCATTTAACGCGGTGCACATGTAAATGATGGTGCCACCCCGATTGGGGTGACCTCCGGCCGTCAGATGTTTGACACGTGTTCTTGTCTAGCATTTATGGCTACTATAAATAGCAGCCACTTTCCATTGTAAAGACACAACATTCCATATTCGAATACACACTCTCTCTCTTGCTTATTGCTCTGACTTCTCTCTAGGTTATTCACCGTAATAACCCTCCGGATAAGCTACCCCGGGTACACTATCCATCATTTTATTTATTTGTTTGTTTGTTTGTATGTTTTCCAGAGTGATTTAATAATCAACATCTGAATTATATGAGTATAATATTTCTTCAAAGAAAGACGGACACAAAAAAATGTAAGGTGAAAGAGCCGAGACTTTAATTTAATTTGTTAAGTGGACAATCTATTCTAAAGCACTACACATGGCAACAAGTCCAAGTTAGCTTTTTGGAGCAAAAAAAGGTTGTTCTAAGAAGCTACTTTACCAAATGTATATTTTGACCGGTTTAAAAATCAAATCACCTAAATATGATCAAACCCATCAAAAAATGACTAATAAGCCATTTATCAAAAAGCCCCAAAAATACAAACCACTAAACATTTACTTCAGTTTTGATCTGCCCTATATTATATTGCTTCTAATGTATTTATAAAAAATGAAAGTGTAAGTGTCACCAAAAATATATGACAATTATGGTCACTCATAAAAAAGAAATGATGCAATGTCATCATCAACGATTTAATATCACAAGGATGAGAATAACAATAATTTTGGATATTTTGCACAAATGTTACTTTTTGTAGTACATCATATCTTCTGTGTACAAAATTTCAATTATGGATTGTCCATAATCTGATTTGAAAATTCAAAACATTATCTTATATAATTTTGGATATGTTACATAAATGTTACTCCCTCCGTCCCGCTAACAATGGGACAAGAGGGAGTGACACACAAATCAATAAAAAGTAGTTTATGTGGTTGATATTGAATTGATAAAATAAGAATAAAGTAAGAATGATTTAGAGTCACACAAACTTTGCCAAATTTGGTATGAGACAATCTTAGTGAAACGGGCCGATAAGGTAAAACGGGACAATCATAGCAGGACGGAGGTAGTACTTTATATAGCACAACATGCAGATGTGGGGTTTGATTTGCTTCTAGAACTCTTTTTAAGGAGTCTAAGGGTAAACACGTGGCGAGTTTGATTTGCTTCTAGTTTATTTAGTTGAGATATCCCGATTGAATTGTTATAATCAAAACTGTTTTAATCCATATCAGATTTGGGTCATTTGCATATGTGAGATCACAATGCGTTTCTACGCCTACTTGGATATTTGTAAATAGGAACATTAAACCTTCTAAAAGGAAAAAAACATGATTTGCTCGCACACAACCCAGATATTGAAAATTATCAATCTAAGATAAGAAAATACTGTGAATTTTCATATTTTTTAATTTAAAAAATGTACATGTTATTTAATCTTATTACACTAATAAATTGTTGTGAAAAAAATTCTTCAAACAACATAAATGGTTAATAAAGAATCAAATAAATCAAAGCTAATTTATGATATTTTAGGTCTTTGATTCATAGTTTTCAACTAGTCAAATCTTATATCGACAAACTTTATCTTTCAGATCCCTTATTGATGGTTAGTCTATCTTTCAAGTTCTCGACCTTTATTGAGCTTAACACTCTTAGTCGTGTCATGTACAAAGTTATTGTAATTGAGTCGTTCCTACACCATTTTTATTTCATACTGAAAGTTTTGCATTGTATATGATTACCAAACAACTGTTTAGCTAGAAATAATATATTACTATAATGTCCCAAAGTGAAGTTCAATTGTGGTGTGCTCCCGTTCCTTCAACTCAACTCTGGTTGAATATCTAATTTTATATATCAAACTATTATCATATACTTTAATGAAAAAATAGCATATTTGGCACCTATTTATAATGTATTGGAATGGTTTTTGGACACAACTATGTGATAATATTATATATTTTTTTTGAAAGGAAACTGATTATATTATAGCAATCAAGCTTAGCAAAGTTCTTCCACCCGTACAACGCCAAACCTCCCAACGAGGCTCCGCATAGCCAAAAGGCCCTCTCACTCTCTGACTAAGCATAGAATAGACCACCCTGAGAAGAGCGAGACTATTTGCTAACCATGTGAGAGCTTCGAAGCTTTTAACGGTCAAACAAGCTTTATCGCTTCCACCCACCACAATGTTTTGAGCAAAAAATAAAAAGCAAAACGACAACCTACCTCTAAAGTTCATACTGAAAACAAAAACAACATGATTAACCGAAACGAAAAGAGCATAAAAATAATAAAATGCTTCATGGCCTCCCGCCTTATTTATTCCCTCCTGCAGTGGTAGGGGAGCTGTCATCTTTGTGTCTGGCGAGCTACAAACTTATAGCTCGCCTCCTCCCGTCCCCCGTCCCCCGGCATGCACAAGCTCCATCTCCTCCCTAGTTTGGTAGTCTTCTGAACCCTCCACACGTCTGCACTTTTGCTCGAGGTTCCCTCTCTCTTTTTGCGAGGACCCGCCTTCCAAATTACATGTTCGCCTTCCCTCTTCTTTATTTCCGTTGTTAGACTGGTTGCCCAAGCTGATTTTTTTACCTGCTGGGACAAGCCATTTATTCTCCTTCCATTGCATTGCCCTTTTTTCAGCCCTAAGCCAAGGGTCGAAATGCCTTTCACCGCATAGCTCATTAGCCCTCCTCTTACGGGGACAATGGCTCTTAGCATGACCTATTATTCCACACAAGAAAACAGGAACTAGGCAGTTTCTCACAGCAAAACCTGACACCGAAGTTGACCCCTTCCTCTTTTTGGAGGAACAATTTCCTTTTCAGGGGTTTCCCCAGATCAATTCGGACCTGAATCCTCATAAAAGATTCCCACCTCTCGGAGAAATTGTCTTCATCCACTTTTATAAAAGCCCCCAAAATTTTCCCAATGCCTTCCGCATTGTCTATGGTGAAATAGCCCACTGGAATATCATGAACTTGAATCCAGAACTCTGCTTTGTTCAGTGGAACAGACATAGGGATATCACCTTCTTTAAGCCTACTCATAACAATTAAATTCCGATCGAAAAGCCATGGACCCTCATCTGCTACCCTATTCATATCCTCTTCATTATAGAATTGAAACACATATCTCCTAGGGCCTATTTCAGTTATAGTAACACCCTTTCAGGTTTCCACACAGACGCCACAATATCTCTAAATTGAATGAAACGTGCCGACTTTTATGACGTAATTGTTCCGACCAAGGTTAGATTGTGCTTAGAAGAGTTTTGTGCCAGAGACTCTACAATTAGGAACTCATCTTCCTCCTCCATCTCCAACTGACTGTACGTTTGTGCTAGTGCTTCAACATCATCAGTGTTGTGTCCGTTCTCCATTTCATTTGTCAAAACAAAATCAGACCTCTCGCTAATTGCAGAAGCCGGGTCGCTGCCTTGAGAGAAGATTCGAAAATTGCTCTTAGTATTGTAGAA